GTCAACCATCATGGAAAGAACGATTTTGTTGAAAGGTCTAAAGATTTTGCTAAAAACAGATCTGAAAATAATTTTTTGTTGAATCATCAAAATAATTTGTTGGAATGTTAAAACTGATAAGCATTGCTATAAAACGTTTTGATATTCTAGCAATCACTTTGACTTTCGCACAAAATTATTTTGATTATTGAACAAAAATTATTTTCAGATCTGGATTCAGCAAAATTGTTCTTTCCGTACAGATATATCAAGATAAATGTATCAGTAAATGATAGTTTAAGAGATATTCATATCGTTATATTCATTTTTCTATATATGCAAATATTAAATTCAAATAATATTTTATTTACATTAGATTTCCTTACTTATATTTGATGTGTTAATTAATTTTCAAATCGTTAATTTTATTACGTGAAAAAGTGAATTCTGAAAAAAAGATGTTCACGTTATATTTTATTTTATGAGGCATACATTTTTTTTGTTCGTTGATACATTTATCCTGTTTCCCTTTGAATGAATTTATGTCTCGTCGTACTTTTTACTTCGCTGCAGCGTTCGTGGACAACCGAGCGCAACGATTTTATTTTTCGACGTACCTATACATATCTGCTCGGGCCGAGCACACTTTCCGCGAATCAAGATCACTGACCGTTAAAACCTGGAAAACATTTCTTATCGCGACAAACCATTAGCACCGGAAAGAATGATTAATCGATTTCGAATCATTATCCGAAAATCTGTACGATCTCCGACTTTGACCCTGCGAGATATAAAAATATTGATTTACGTTTATAATATTGATTTAAGATTACTAGGAAAAATTAATATACACTTAATATTTTAATATTATTCCGGGGGGAGGGGGATTTGCACAAAAAATATTTGCTATACATGTAACAAAATATATATCTAATCGTTGCTACGAGTATATTTAAAATTATTTTCCGAGATTTGTTGAAATATATATTAATATATTAATATATATTAATATATAGCTATATATTAATATAGCTCACACTTACAATTAGTGTAATACGTTTTACTACACTGAATTCAAAATATGGAATTTTGGAAACATTTTAAAAGCTTCTGCATTTTGCGACAGAATTGCGGAATGCATTGCAATGCTCTGTATCAAAAATACAATACCCGATAGAAGATTAACTGCCGCCGATTCGAATCCTGATTCGCCTGTGGAGTATGCGCGGCTCGCCCTTTGCCATTTTTCATCTCGTTCAACGTGATATTAACTTGAAAACGGCCACTCTCGGACATTACCGTAAAGCCGATCGTATCTCCGCTTCGACCCGCTCTAAAGCCGAAGTTGGGACCGAAGGGAGCCTTTTGCGGGATAAAAACTTACGATGCCTAACGTTAAATTGAATTTGACCGTCAATTTATCGTGTATCATGTTAAATATATATTTACCATCTACGAATAAACACTAGATGCTTAGGAAGTTGACGCTTTCAAAGCGTGTTTATATCCAGTCTCTTCTTTAAACATGCAATTACATTTATAGTCTTTAAAAAAATCTTAAATAAAAAAAATTAAACAAAAAATTGCATATCTCTTACAGATCTAGATTTATTTTATTTTTTTAGTCTGAATTTTTCTTATAAAAATAGATTTTGAATTACGAAATCAGCTTCATTGAAGCTACCTTATTTATCTATTAATCTGTACATAAGCCATGCCGCTTGTTACATGAAAGAACTATTGTAAAATTGATTGCAAGAGTATCGTCACTATATCCATTCGTTATACGAACTCTAACATTACTACACTAATAGCGGAACTCGTTATACGAGCGCTACACTGCCATTACACATTCATTTACAAGCACTATTGCTGCGATAATACGCTCGCTGCACGAGCAGCGCCGCTATCTATTTTCCCCCGTATTTTCCCTCGTTGCTCCGCTTCGAAAGCCCAAGACAACCGTGCTGAGCAGTACTTTTCGCGTTTCACCGGAACTTACGAGCTGACGATGCCATCGGAACGGCCAAGCCAGGCAGCCAACAGCTGCCACGGATTCGACGTTAAACCCGCGTAACTGTGGGAAGCGCGGGTCGAATCCGTATAGATGCGAGAGCTAGGCGCGGTCGCGCGCGTCGCGTTTGCATACGATGCATCGCGATGCAAATCGGACCGCGTGATGCGAACGAGATACGGCGGGTGGGCGGGGGCGGCGATGCATCGCGGTGTAGCAGAGAGTGTGTGTACCGCGAATGCAGCCGGGCGTTGTGCGGCGAGGCTAAAGGTAATAATTGATATATAGCGATAGCATTGGCCGCTGACAGCCGCTAACCCGGCCGAATACGGATGACACTCGGTAATCCTCACTCTCATACCGGTTAGTGTCCACCTATATTCCGCGGCGTCCCATTTCCCATTCCCATGGTGTGTAAGCTCGACTCCTCTCTCCCGCGCTCTCATTCTCTCTATCTCTCTCACCCTTTCTGTTTCTCTCTCTCTCTCTCTCTCCCTTCCCTCTCTCGATCCCTCTCGTTCGCGCAACCCCTTCGCCCTCCGAACCAGGGCTGAGATATACAGACACTGGATGTGTGTCGGTTGCGCCGCAATCAGGGGTCCAGGAGGGTGGATGATTGCGCGGCAGAGGAAGAGAGAGAGGGCGCGGGAATTGGATAGCGAATAGAGAGAGAGAGAGCGCAAGCGAGAGGGAGAGACCTAGAGAATAGAGGAAGAAAGACAGAGAGCAGTGCACTGCCACACCGGAGGCTGGAGCACAGAGCGACTCTCGTGCGCCCAGCCAGAGCGCCGCCGCGAGGTGTGCGGTGCAACCATACTAATCCGCCGATGGATTTATGGTCTTAATCACCGGCGGATTATCTCGGACAGCCGCGCTCTGCTGCCACCGACCGAAACATACGCCTGCCTCTTTGCAGATAACTGTACCCGGCTTCGCGCTCGACCTCTCTTTCTCGCTGTTTCCCCTCTGTCTCTCTCTTTCCCTATTCTGCCTCTCTCTCGTCCTGTTTCTCTCGTCCGTCGACTCTTCGGTGTGCCTTTCTCTTCCTTCTTCTCTCCAATATGACGTTTTCAGATCTTTTATCCTAGCGCACCAGGGATTTCTATGACGTTACGCTGAGAAAACGGGTCCTAAAGATAGCGCGCGATATAGTTCTGCACAATGTCCGTGGAACAAAATTTGTACAACACTACTTGAATGCAAGACTTCAAGACTTCCTCTGTGTACTTGTAAATAATTCGCTAGAACTTTATAAAAGATGTTGGCCTCGCGTGCTTTACGAAATAGAAGCTCCTACGGTGAAACTCGAGTACACGCGGACTCTTCTTCCGGAGTGCAGTTCTATTATTTTCCATTACGACAAACAGCGCGAATTAAACTCTGGGCTAATGAGGGTCGCGTGGAAGGATGTCTCTTGCACTTGAAGCAAGCGCGAGCGCGCCGAGGCAGGTTTAAAATGAAGAATGCCTCCATAATGGCGTTACAGTTTGCGAACGAGCGACGGCCGGGGGATCTGCAGCGTTTTGGTACATGGCGTATAGCACCGTGGCGGGAACACCGTACTACGCTATGTGTGGTTCTATAAATCCACCGGGGCTTACTGGCGCAAAGCCTCCCCTGCGGCCTGCGCGCGGCACTCTCACCTCTTTCCCCATGTGACCTCCTATCTGCCCACTCTCTTCCACCTATCTCCCCCTCCCTCCCCCCTCTCCGTGTCCTTCTTCCTTTGCCTTGTTCACGCGCACTTCTTCCACGCTTTCGCCGTCTCGCGACGCCGCCGGCCACTCCGCCGGAACGTCCCGATGAAACGCAAGCAGGCCGCCGGGATTTCGAGAAGCATGTCTGGCCGCTCGCTTGATCCGTTTCGAAGTCGCTCGGACTTGGGACCGCGCGCGATCCGTCGTTTGTTCGCGAATCAAGTCGCGGAGACGCCGCGGCAAGAGGATTTATACAGCGCTTACGGATTTGCGAAACTTTCTAACAGTTTAGTTTCTTCGACGTCGTTTTGTCGCAACGAAAAGCGCTTTTCTTTTATAATTTCACCGGAGAAATTATTAACGCTTGTCGTGTTTGGGGTGAATACGATGATACGTGACCGTTTAAAAAAATGTAATAAAAATGCGATTGTGTATACAAAATTCTAACTATATAAATTTTTAGTTTAAAATTCCTAGAACTTACAATTAGTGATATGTAAATAAATTTCAATATATGTAGGTGTAATTTTTCTTCAGCAAATCTTCAGCCACTGTATAATAATGTAATATTAATTTCGAGAGTTTATATTTTTATCTCAAATTTACATTTATATTAATTAATTTGATTTATATTTTTGAATTAATATAAATTTATACCCAATAAAAACATAGAAACCATTTTTTTTAAATAGGAACTTTGACTAATTAATATTTAATAACATTTAAAACATCTCGTCTTATTTTCGTCCCTATCTCGTAGAAATCGTTCGTACGCTTCACTAATGCAAGAGATATCATCCGTGGTCAGCGGATTGTTGCCTTTGTAATCGATACCTTGATGTTTCAATGCACCCATTGTGAGCGCCTGTTACTGCATTCATCGCGAGCTCAAATTTTTGGACGGTTGTTTCTTCAATGTTACTGTTATATTTTTCGTTTTTCCGAGACGATTCTTGAGAAAACAATTCTCAAGTCGTTAATGTTTCACAATGTAGATACCCGACGCGAGTCATTCCATCGAATTATAATCGATTATACTTAAATTACCATCAACACGAAATCGAATCTAAATTATCTCTATCTAGCTTTTGTCGATTTATTAGTTATACAATCTCATTTTTATTATTTCATTAATTAATTTAAATTATTAACTCGAATTATTAAATATATCCTTAAACAAAAGTTTTCGTTTAGTCACTACTCGAATCATTTTCTTCTATAGAAATGCATTTTAAACAATACGATGTTTATATGATGATTCTATTTGCGCGATGAAGTTTAAACTGCAGAAATGTTACAAATTCTCTTACCCTGACTCGAGCTTCCGTAAGATTCGTACAGCATGCTATCTCTTCTCTGGTTGACATGTCTGGATACCGGTTCCTCATAAACGTCATCTCCAGATTCTGTAGCTGATGTTGCGTAAAGTGTGTCCTCTGTCGCCTTTGCCTTTTGTTCTTTTTGCCATCCTTATCGTCCGTATCGTTGACTCCGACCCCAGGAGAAACGACACCACCAGCGGCACCCAATTCGTGTTTCACTTCTGGTGGTGTTCGTACACCTGAAAAGTGTTAAGGTATCATATCTTCGACGAGACCGTCAATAGCGTCTTGAATATACATAAGACATATTATAAATTAAATATTCCGTAACTTCCGTAAAAGTAATATCAAAGAAATATTGGCGATATATACATATTAATCTCGGTTTTTTGGATAATTAAATTATACGTATAATATATCTAAAAATGATAAAAAACCAATGCCGTATTTTAATAGCGTATTCTCAAAATAAATTGGAATAAAATTAAGTTCAACTTACAATAATTTTTAAATTACAAATTATTAATAATTTCGCATAAAGTTACTGGTTTCGCGTAAAGTTCGCACATTCAGTTTCATAACTGTATTTACATGCGTATTGATCTGTTATCTATTATTGATTTTTCACAACTCAAGTGATATTGATTTTTACTGCTCAGCTGATTTTGTCTTTTAATTTCTTACATATTGATACTATTATATATATAATAATAATCAGCAAATATTAACATGTCGATTATTAATAATGTTTCTGTTATTATAAATTGATATTTAATTTATTTAATATTTTATAAAATAAAAACTTAAATAATAATTAATTGTAATTTAAAAAGTTATTAAATTTAATGTTCAATTAAAATTAAAAAATGGAAATTAATTTATCTTTTTTTATCACATCTTTATATTCCTCAAAAAGTAAAATCGGTGGTTTTAATAAATCATACAAGGCAATATGTCACATTTTTGCGATTTCTTTAATTCAATTACGATTCTTGATTAAATCTTGCGATTAATAACTGTTAAACATTGTTTATCGTAACGTATATCTTGTGTGATTTATTCGTTTAAAGAAAACATTGAAGTATAAGATATAGAAATCAGAAATTATTATTCCATTGCAATCTTTATGGACAATAATTATTTATTTAACAATGCTCAGATTTGAATATGTTTCGTATCGAAAAATTTTTCACTAATTCAAATATAATTTACCTTTTTTTATATTGAAAATATAATGGAATAATACACGAATAACCAGATCGCACAAATGATTTTAATAATGAAAAGCCGATCATATGCATATGTATATGGATCATTTATTAGTATTTAACTTGAAATGAGCAACTTCAAATATTCAGCGTACATTTATTTTGTAATGCACATTGTATTTCATAGCGACGAACTGTTATTATTATGGCGCTTAACTGTGTGCCGCAGTATACAATTTAGCGATGTATACACACAAGGTCGTCGGGCTGCCATTCGTACTTTAAATCCCGAGTCGATAGAGTCGCGCGTGCCGCTCCGTATGTTGTCTCATAACTTCCGGAAAAGCGGCAAGTACCGAAAGACGCTAAACACGATCATTACTTAGGAACACACGTATCGAATATTAGCGTACGTAATTTCACACCTCGTAAGTAATATCTTGTAAAACGATAGTTATTTATCGAAGCATATATTTCGCGCGTAATACATTCATTTAAAATGGAAAGCAAAGTAAAATTAAGATGTACATATAACAGAGTATAGACGATTATTTCGTTGTAACGTTTGCGGACAATAATTGGCTCTTTAATAAAGTTTAAAGTCGAATATCTCATAATGTTTGATACACTTATGCAATATTGAATTTAGATTATATATTTTCGATTCTTTTTGCATTCGAATAAACTATTAACCCAATTTTATAAATTGGATCGTGTCAGAGTAAAGTTGCCAACGCCATTTTCGAAATTTTTGATAATTAATGGAACGGATACTTAAAATGGTTACAGAACGGATTGACTTCGAGTCAAATGAAGGGTGTCGCGACGTGTATTAGTGAATCGTAATTAATCTCATATTTTAATATAAAATTTAACCAACTGTGCGCAGCGTAAATTCGCTGTTTGTTAAAACCTCCGTCGTTAAAAATTCGTCCGTTGTGCTTATTTACAAGACAGCGCGAATGTTGAACGGATTGTAGCTTCATGCGATAATACTTTTTTCGTATTATCCTAGCCGTCGCAAGCGCAGCGTAGTGCGCGTTACGTGTGATTAATGTCAGCAGTGTCGCGCGATCGTAATTAACTCGTGCCTCGTGAGCGAGTTGTGTTACGACGCAATTACAACTCTGCTGTTGCGCATCACGTAGATGTGTCACAAATGATATTGTATTTTAATTTCAAGTAATGGATCCATATGAATATTGTATCAGATATGCATAAAAGGTAAAAGTAAGTAAATGTGAACATATCAAGCTAAATGTTTAAAAATATATGACAGGCAAATATAATATTATAGATTCATTGCTTTAAATACACGGAAAGCATATCCATTGCTTTAAATACACTTTAAGCACACGAAAAGATTTTGTTGAAAGGTATAAAAATTTTGCTGAATATATCTGAAAATAATTTTTGTTCAATAATCAAAATAATTTGTTGGAAAGTTGAAAATAATAGGCATTGCTATAAAACATTTTGATATTTTAGCAATTATTTTAACTTTCCAACAAATTATTTTGATTATTAAACAAAAATTATTTTCTGATCTGGATCCAGCAAAATTGTTATTTCCGTACATGAGTTAAGATAAATTAATATTGTTTAATTCTGGAATATGTATGTAAGTTTAAGCGCGCGAATTCTACGCGATACCATTTAATCGATTAAAATTAAACCATTATAATTTCGATATTTTTGTATCAGGATTTTCAAATATAATTAATCTCTAGAGTATTAAAATATACAGTTATGAGACACGGTATATAATTATAAAAAAAGTTATTAAGTACTTAAGTACTATAATTTTATTTTTTATACATTTACCATTTATTAAATTGATAAAATTTTAAATCTTTTTTTTACATATACATATACAAAATATTTATTTTGCATACGATCTTGTTTAATGAAGTTTTCGTTAGATTTTGGGCAGTTATGTGTCTATAAAAATGCCGTTTTTCACGTTTGATTTATTGAATATAAAATTCGCCTATGTTTACGCGAATTCCGCATTTTGTCACAAAAGTATGACGGATTCTAGCGAGAAGTATATGCGGGAACTGACGCTTCTACCGGTATTAGAATGGACGAAGTGAGATCCACGGCGGAGGTTTGTTGTTAACCGGGAACATAAGACTCCGGGTAGATATTTCAATTTGCGAGGATTTGGAGCGCGGGTGAGAGTGTTCCAGCTAAGTGCCGAACAAACGTGCAAACAAACGTAAGCGACCTTTTCCGCTCCTCCTCCCACTCGCCGCCATCCACCATTCCGCGCATTCGTTTCAGAACTCCGTGTAAACGCGATAGAGAATGGCGTCCGAATGGCCTTTCCCTCCCTCTCTCAACTAAATTTTGATTCGAGCAAATACGTCTCTCCCGTTACTAAATCTAATGTCGAACTTGGAAGTACGTACACTCGTGGATATATATAAGATATCGCGTATTTCATATTGTTTGTAAAAAAAAGCACGTGAAAGTAACTATACGTCATTTAACATGATTTAATAAGACCGGCAAAATAATAAGATAGTGACATCCGTTAAATGATAACCGAAAGATATCCAATCTTTTTATGTTTTAATACGATAGAATCAAATTATGATTTTCCACGGAATTTTGAAAGATATAAATCGAAGAAAGATTAAATTACATTAACTTTATATTACTTTTGCACATATAGGTATTCGAGACGTACCTTTTCGAATATCTGGCCTGTGAGTCGCGTTCGTACGGTTCCTCGGCTGCCCGGTGGAGTATCCGCCGGAGGGTGTCGTGGGGGTCGCCCCCGGTGTACTTGGATTGCTACCACCGGGGGTGTGAGCGCCATGACCCGCGTCGAGCCTCGCGAGGCCCCCGTTGGTTTCGTCCCCGAAGTCACTCTGCGCCCAGACTGCAAAACACATCACACCCTCTTGCAACGTCGTCTAGGCGTACAGTAATCCTTATTTATTCTCGGCTGCAGCCGCGCACGTTAATTGGAGGGTTCCTTTTCGCGTTCCGCTAAGTCATTCGTGCACGATACCGCGACATAATGAACGACATACCATTTCAGATTCAATCAAGATCTAATAGCTAAGTTAGTAATGATTGAGCAATTACTATTGCATAAATCTTTGTCGTTTGTTTATCTTTAACATCACTATTATAATTCAATGTCGAGTAATCTAACAAAAAAACTGATTACCTTCACTGTTAAATCTATATAGTGTCTCAAACTGAACCTTATTTAAGTTGCCACTGCTTCTACTTAATAAATAGTTATTTTTAACTAAAACAATATAGTTATTTTAAAATAAAACAATGAAATTTAACCCAAATTTAAGTTAAATTTGAACTGTTTTAAATTATTTAATTCCATTGTTTTAGTAAAAAAGAACTATTTATTAAATAAGAGCAGTGGCGACTTAAATAAGGTTCAGTTTGACACTATAGATTTAACAGTGTTTCATTCCAAATAGATGGAAAATTATTTTCACTTTCAAGGAACCTTTCAATTGCGTTTATCACGCAAAACATAGCCACTTTAGAAATTTTAGTTTGCAATTCTTCATAATAGCAATACATATGTCGCACGAATTGACCGATTAATAATCCTGTTACCTCGCCCACCCAAATAAAAGTTATGTCTCGCTGCGGCGAGCCGCCCCTCAATCAACGACTATTTATCTACCGACGAAGTAGACGCGATAAAAAGATAAAGACGAATTCTCCGCTGCTTTCCACACTTCGTCGTCGATGTGTGTGCATTATACGCGTGTACGCGTCCGTGTGTGTGTGCGTGCGCGAAGCCACGCGGGGCGGGCTGAGAAGTTAATCGGCTCGGTCGTTTAGCTTCGCTCCGTTTAGTTATATTTGGTTTCCACGGGAGCGGCAAAGAAGGAGGGACGTGGTTCACAATTAGTCGGCGCATAACTCGGGGCTGATTTAGTGCCGCGGAGCCTGCTACGTACCACGAAGTGGCACGAAGACGCGTGTGTGTCACTCTACCTCGATACCGCCAAGTGTGCGCGCGCGGTGCACACGTGTTAGTACGAAATAAAAGAGACTCCTTGTGCGATATTTTCCATGGCGGAGGTCCCGGGCATATTTAAACTGCACTTTTCAAATTAATCATCTTTGCGAAAAGGTGCAAGATAGGCACGGTTGAATCATTTTTACATATATGCAAGAATATATCCGTTTAAACCAGAATAGAGTTTTTGATTCAATACTTTAATATTCTTATTTATTAAAGATTTGATACAATTATATGTTAAGTGCGATTAAGTTATGTGCATCTTTTAAATATTTTGCAAGTTTCGAGTAATCTCATTACACGAACTAATCTGTCTTCTTTCAACTGGAAATAATTGTATAGTTTGAAAAAGGATTTTCTACATATAATTAATAATAAAAGCGACTGTCAAGACAGAAAGAATATGAGAAATAAAAATGAGAACATAGTTCGTAGAAAAGTGGCTCGGTCAAGTTTTCGCTCGTACCTATTTCAAGCGAAGTTATGACATCTCGGTAGACACCTCGGTTAGTTCAGTTTATCACGGCACCGTTTCGCTGTGCACGCGAATACACGCGTGAAATTTTTCTGGCAACGGAAGACATACTTGTCAGCGGGTGCGATATTTTAGCGGAGGTATACGTTCTGTAGTACTAATTTACGTGCTTGCGAGTTTACGGACGCGCGGCGTAATTGAGGAAATCGTCGAAACTGTTGACGAATGTGCGCCAAACAGTTGTTCGCGATATCAAGCGCTTTCTCTAAATGTTGATGTTTTCTTGTTAACACTTTGACTGCCAAGCTGACTTCAGCATGAATTCTGGAAGTCGAGAAGTTTATAAAAATATGCAGAGTTAGATTACAGAAATGAACCATAAAAAAAAATTAATAATTATAAAAATAAAAAATATGTTATTTATATTGTTAAATATTTAGTAATGCAATTTTAGAAGGAATAAATACATGTGAAGAAATTAGATATAAACAGAAAAACAGAAAAATAACTAATTCTGTTGTCAATAGATCTATCTAAAAATTTATTATTTTAATAATACTTTTTTTCTTTTAATGTTCTTATAAATACTCATTGCCAGTAAAATCATTTCGAACAAGATAAATAAAATCATCACTTATAAATGGGGGACGAGGTCTTTGCGGCTTCCAGATATGATATCGCAATCAAAGTATTAACATCAATTCACCAAAAAAGGGCATTCAATATAATTATAACCGCTTTGCGATTTCTGTTTTGAATTCACATAACTACGTTGACATAAGTTTTGATATTAAAAATCGAGTGCAAATACCGTGTTCCCAAAGACAGATTTCTCTCGGGGGCACTCTGCGTATTTATAGCTCGACTATAAATTCGTAGAGAGGTATCTGCGATGGGGGGAGGGAGGGGGACGTGGTGAAAATCGCTGTGCCACCGCGGAAAATTGATATTGACGAATATCGCGACTTCGCGTCGTATAAATCAATCTCGCCTGGACACCGTCGCGCGATCATGCGTGCGGATACTCGTCACGCGTTTCGCTACAGCTGTGCGTCGTGTATGTTTGTACAATCATTATATACTGTTATTTATCGCTTTAGTAGCGGAAATTGAAACCAGCATAATTTAGGTAGATACGAATCTCGATGTTGCGGAAATGATCTGCGCATTTATTCGTGTCGATTATTAAAATAAGATACGTTTGAGATATGTTTAGAAACTGGTTTAAATCCATATAATAATACCTATAACTTGTTAAAACGAGCCTTGACATTCTTTCCGTATATAATTTATTTTTTCTTTCTATGCGTTTCACACATAAGCGGTCTGTGTTTAAAGATCAAGCTTAATCGCAAATTATGCCGATCTCAATCCCGCCCTTATTACCAAACACGTTTTCTCGCGAGTAGGTATATCGTATAAATACGCGAGCGCGACTCGCGAGGTTGCGACTCGTCCGCCGGAATTCGTGATTAATTCGCCGGCCGGCGAAATGCGAGAGCGGATGAGCCGCGTCGACAACGGGATTATACAAGTCGCAAAATGCGGTGCGCGATTTCGAACGAGGCGAAGTATGGCCGCGCCATGCTGTGCCGTGCCGTGCATCGCGGAAATGCTATAGTGTCTCTTGAAATTTATTCCCGAAGTTACGCACAGCTCAACCGGGACTGAATTTGTCCGGAAAACGATCGAGGAATGCGTTTGATATCAGCGTGTAGGTTTCATTAAATAATCTCTAATGTTCAGACTACAAATTAGTTATTTAGATTATAATTATTTAGATGGTAACACATATAATCCATAAAACACGTGTAAAGGCATTTTCTTCTTAATAGACATAACTCTTAAACCCTTTATGTTCAATCTGTTCAATAAAGCCATTTGTTTGCTGTGCGAAAAGACAAACGTGTCAAAATGCTGTCGCCGTATCGTAAATGCCATCTCAATAAATAAGCAAATAATGATTCCTAAACGACTTGAAGATTATGGTTAATCCGCTCGCAACGTAAATTATGTAAATTAAAATATTTGTATTACCTTTTATCTTTCGCTTCTTCGGATTTTCGAAGTTAAACAACACGCGAGAATCCTTCCAGGGGGAATTTGATGATCTTCATCTATTTACTACAAAGGTATTTAAATGTTAAGCGACAGATACGTTCGCCTTCCACGTTTCGATAAAGATAATGTATACCGACTGAAGTCTCCCACATACCGCCGCTTGTATATTATTTCAAGATTAGAGTTAATCACATAATCTACACCGTGATCTGACTAACACTACACTCGAGCGACCTACTCACCGAGTAAAATTTATAGGCCGTCATTTCTCACGCTTCAATATGTCGCAAACAAGTGCATAAATATATTTTAAGGATTTGTATTCTTGACGACTGCCAAATTCCTATCATACTTCTTCGAAAGCACACCTTTTTGTCATAATAATTAATCGTGCGAATACTTCGTATATTAAAGTAATAATTTGATCTGATTTTGCATAAATCACATTGAATTTGAGTATTCGATAATTTCAACGCACAGCCGAATTTGTTAAATTAAACTGTTTAAACAATTCTAAAATTCCATAGCTATATCGAATAATCGAAGTCAATTGATTTATTGAATAAACTCGAACTTGAAATCAAAGACGGAACTCGAGTTTGATACAACGAGTGCGAGTGGGAGTCGCGAATATATATATATATATATATTTAATGCGGGTAATAATAATAAATAAACACAGCACGCGAGACGTGGCGCAATGATTTTCCAGGGTGTCGTTCGTGGATACACTTTCCTCGTGTCTAGCGCGCACGTTTCCCACGAGATCCCCTGCGGAGTTCTCGGAGGCTTAAGATGTCGTATCGTTTGACGGCTGTGTGCTTGTCCGCCGGCGGCCACCATGGATTCGTGGCGGAGTTACCGCGGATACGAGAGAGGATCCCCGAGAGGGCGGAATGCGGCCCCGACACTCTCCACCCCGCCCTGTCAAACACGTTCGACACCCTCCGATCCCGTTCGCGCGCTCGAGCATTTCGTTTCTCGAAGAGAGAGATCATATATTGATCCCTCGACCTGAAAACGTCGAAACAATATGGACCTTTCTTCCCGTCTTCGACGCCGTGGACGACGGCTGTTTCATACGTTGGACATCTGTCAAAAATATCGCGCGCGGGGCACAGCACGAATATTAATAAAATTTCTGCTGAATTGGCGGATGTAAAACGCGGGAGCTCTTGAGATAACGAGAAGGGTACAAATCGCATTATTTATATGTATATAAAAAAAAAACCAAAGCACTCTCAACTTTGTCATTTCTGGGAATGAGAGAAAAACGGAGGGGCGCGCGGCGCCTCGGCGGATTCTTTCACACCCGAGTCTCGCGTTGCGCCCATTCTCA